GGGGGGTCTCTGTCTGTCAGTGTGAGTGTGTGTGTGTGTGTGTGTGTGTGTGTGTGTGTGTGTGTGTGTGTGTGTGTGTGTGTGTGTGTGTGTGTGTGTGTGTGTGTGTGTGTGTGTGTGGAAAACATGGAGCCACAGTCGTCGTCCCCCGTCCACATCAATGCACTCCCTGTAAAGCGCCGCAGCAGGGGCTTCAAAGGCGAGACGAACCGGGACATCACAACTCGACAGAACTCTGAGACTCTTAGCTTACGGCGTGTGGACAGAACACACTCTTGTAAACTCTATTCAACCCATGCACCGAAGCATTTGCTCACACTAATGCCGTGTATTCATGCAGTATCACAGACAAAACACGCACACACCTCCCCCCAGCTTCTCCCAAATGAATACTTTTTGTTTTTTAAAACAAGCGTTTATGTTAAATGAATAATTTCTGGCTTAAATTATACATTTTTTCCCCTGCGGTCCACGACCAAAATTACACAGCGTCCCGGCTATTTTCTCCCTGTTTGAATTGTGTCCTGCATTCTTGCGTCCCAGCGGTGTATTTAAAGGACCACGGCCTTTCTTTAATTAGCTTAGCCCAGTAATTAACTGGGAGATATTGTTTATTTCAATTATAAGGGTCTGAAGGCTTTTATAGAATGGATGGGAGCAGACCTGTACTTTAACAGTGGTCAGCGAGGAGCATTGTTGCAGTGCCACGTCTGAAAGGGTCACATGTCCAACATTCAATGGACATCTGAGCTATTTTCAGGGTAGTGCTGTTACATTTGACTAACACAGCAGTCTTATTTATTCAAGGCATGCTTTACTTTTCTATGTCTCTGTCTTTAGAGGTGCTGGTAGACACATTCTGTTACTTAGAAAAGAGCCAGGCTAGCTGTTCCCCCTGTTTGCATTGTTTATGCTAAGCTAAGCTAACTTGTTGTGGATTGGTATTCAAATCAAAGACATGACTGATGTTAATCTTGTCATCTAACTTGACTTTTGATCCTAAATGAACCCCTAATTAGTTACTAACCCTAACCTCACTGATCTTATGAACACCCTGCATTAGCGTCAAACCCACCACTTCCTGTATCTTCCCACATTCTTCCTGTTTCCATTTTTGTTTACACATTTCGTAAAGTTAGATGGCTCCTAAGACCAATGACAAAGCGCATTCAAATGCTCCTTGGATGTTTCTATTTCCAGAGTTGGGAAGTTGTTCCTCTCACTTTGATGTGTTTGTGAGCTTTAAGTCATAATGTGGACACAACATGGCCGCTATAAAGAAGCCGTGTTGTATTCTAGTGTTTAAATTACACATTTATACGAGTTTCAGAGTTATTGTTGTGTCTCTTAAGGGGCGTTGACGTGAATTTTCCAAAATGCAATGTGAACGAGAGTAAACATAATTTGTGTGTCCAGCCTGTGAATCGGATCCACTCCAAAATGAAAGGGTCCGTCCTTGTTTGACTAGTGTATATCCTCCTCATGCATAAGCTGTCTTAGAGGATGATTCTGGTTTATAAACAAATGTTTTTGATATCAGGGTAAACGCTACGATGAGCTTGCGGTGACGCTTTAATAAAAAGGGGGGCATGTGAAGACGTACTTTTAAAACAAAATGTATTAACCTTACATTTTGCATGATATGTTTACTTGAATAAATGGATTTAGCTATAAATAGTTAATAGTCTTCAGCTTAAAGAAACAATGAGATAAAAACACAAATCTTACGATAAAAATTGACATTTCTCAACATGACATCTCAAAATGTCTTCTAATTATGGCTCAGTAATGCTCAATGAAATAAAACAGACTTATTCTATAATAAAGATGTTCCCTTAAATAAATATGCCTTATTACAAAGATGCAGACTAGTTTTTTCCCAATGAAAATGCACCATAACTCATATTAAGCCTTAAACTCTGTTGTTCCCTACGAGGTGGTCCCGACCTCCTCCGTATTATTTTACAGATTTCAGCGCAGAGGAGCACTCTCTAAAATAACAGCATGACAGATTTTCATCAAGAGAGGTTCCTCAGGGTGCAATGACGGGTGATGGGGGGGGTGCTTCAGACGTATGGGGTTTCCCTCAATTTGTGCCAGGGGCTGGAGCTGGAACCATTTTTGGAAGAAGAAGCCTTCTCCTGTGTGTGTGTGTGTGTGTGTGTGTGTGTGTGTGTGTGTGTGTGTGTGTGTGTGTGTGTGTTCTGTGTGTGTGTGTGTGTGTGTGTGTGTGTGTGTGTGTGTGTGTGTGTGTGTGTGTGTGTGTGTGTGTGTGTGTGTGTGTGTTGCTGCTGCCATTAAGACTTATTCCAGCACGGGACAGTGAAATTACTGTGTGTACACTTGTATCAGTGTGTGTGTGTGTGGATGGGCACACTCAGACATGAGCCAAGCCGCCGGCCCGGCCACATGAAAGCGTGTCTTTGGGAGGTGGAATTTTAATGTGGAAATGGGAACAATGATTTCTACTTTTAAATGTGGACATGAAGCAGAGCCCATTGAACAGCAGACCAAAAAATGATGGATCAATTATTAATGCATTTACCATCCCATTGCGAGCGTGTGTGTGTATGTGTGTGTGAGAGTGTGTGTGTTTGCATGCGAGCGGGAACATGTACATGTCCGCTTCTCTGTGTGCTGTCCTCAGTGAGTTTGTGTTTGTCTGCTTATTCACGCGTTTGCTTCCACCCAACTTGGCATTAGCGGAATTGTTATGGCTTATTTTCAGATGATGATCCAGTTTCTTTGTGTGTGTGTGTGTTTGTGTTTGGATCTCTGTGTGTGTGTGTGTGTGTGTGTGT